ATAGTATTTATAATAAAAAGTATATGGTGTTATCTGGACAAAAAGCAGAGAAAATACTCTTGTAAATTTGAAATATGACTGCAAGCAAATCTATAAACATGAAAAGGTAATTTCTGAATGAAGAACAGAAGGCTTTAATGTAGGAAAAAGATCTTGCACACAAGCAAACCTGACACTATCCAGTGGAGGGCATCAAATGCAACCCTTGGGTAAAAGAAGCAAAACCACATCAACATCACTATGACTGAAAACTGACTGAAAACTGAGAAGCAAGTTTAAAAGCAAAAAAATGAAGGGTGAAGAGATGTACCTAAGTGCTTTCACCTATGAAAATAGAATGTCTTTCATAATTCTGTAAATATTTCTATATGGATAGAAGAGCACTAGGGCTCTAACCACACTTACCTCCTCAATTTTCAGCAACTCCTTTTTGGAACTTTCCTTCTCTGAAGAGGAAGCATAAACCTGGATAGAGAGCAAGCTCAGGCTAACAGGGGTGGCCCCCAACCGAATTACCTAGAAACGTTACAGGAGGACACGTAAATCGTTAGGTTCAAACAAAACAGCAGGATGTCTGAACACATCCATGTAGACAATGTTTATGCCCTCATATATGGTAATACATCATAAATTAAGATGCTTAGAAAATAGGAGGAAGGTGAGTCAGTGGTACACAATCTAATGCTCTTGGGCACCCAAATGTAACACCTAAATTACTCAAATGTTATGTAGAAAAGCCCAAGACTAAATTCAACAGCAGATCTAAGTGCTAATCTCATCAATTTTCATCTCACAAAAAGATCTTGTTTTCTCTAAGTTGAAACACAATTTTCATCAACTTTCTTAGTACAGACACTAACAACATCATATTTGTATTTTAAACAACTTTGTGAATGCCCCTAACACCTCAACTTTTCCATAGTTCGTACCAAAAATTTCAGCGTTTTATTTCTAGCTATTGTCTGCATCTACATTTAGGAAAAAAAACAAGACCTACAGCTGAAATTATCGGAACATAATCCCTGCTTTCTAAGAATTTTAGAAATGTCTCCAAGTTTTCTGTGAGAAACATCAATAGAGTGCATCGTGACAGACACTCGACTGTTTTTGAGTACTTTGGATTCAACCCAGTCATGCAACACAACCACCATGTGGAAGGTGTATATAATTCTTCCTATATTCAGGACGTACACTAAATTGTAGTTATTAACAGGAGAGACTGCTTTAACTCAAAAAACAGCAAACAGAAAAGTCTTAGCTGTGCAGCGAATCAAGAATGCACGGAAAACACTTTCCAACAAATGCACATCCTTATGACAGCAAGGTTTAACTCGAGTTCCAATGGGAAACCTTCCGATGTCTCCTGTTCACGTTACTGCTCAGGTGGACACGTGCACTTAGAACAGCCCGTGGTTTGTTGTATCAGCTTACAGCGCCAGTGGATCTAACAGCCCACGGCCACCAAACCGGAGAGGTCTAGCTCTGCCCGCGGCATCCATTCCCAGAAGTCCTGCTGCTCACCTCGCCCTAGCTTTGGTGGCCGGACGCTCCCACCACGAGGCGATTCGCCTCGCCAATGTGGCAAGAGATTAATCCTGAAAGAGAAGTGGAGAGCTTTGTGCGGGGTTAGTAAGTTGAACCCGTCCATGAAACAGTCTGACGAGCACCAGAGGAGTGGTGTGGCCAGGGAAGAGGGGATGGAAAAGGAGAAGGCAGCAAGCCCTCCTCCTTTTCAGGAACAGCAAGGGTACGTTATGCTGACCTAGCTGCTTGTGAAACTGAAGCCTTGGTTAACCCAGTACGTCCTTCAGGCTGTTATGATGGCAAATGAGCTAGCCACAGGACGATTACTCTGATGTTTCTGCCCACTGCAGAACTGCTAGAAAATAGCTTTAACATTTATCCAGACTACATGCTTACTGTACACAGATCAGCATTTGTAGCTTAAATTTCTTCCACTTCTTTGCAGATGGAATATTTATTAAATGTAACCAAGAGGCTCCTCAAACTCAAAATTAGACTATATAGTTGTCAAACTGCCTGAAAATGTTTGTTTCTATGTAGAGAAACAGCACACAAGAACTAGGTCATAGGATCGCTTTTCAGAAAGACATAAGGGATCTGATGGATCAAGTGGTATGGAAAAACTTGCTTAAAATAGAAGTTTTCCCTTGTTTGAATTTATGAACCCATTATTACAGGACCACAATGAACCACCACAATGACTGGATCAGCTGTTTCACGGCCAAGGAAAGACATGAATAATCTTTAATACTATTTGTTTAAACAAAGACTTTTCACATACTGTCATTAGCCAAGATAAAAACATGAACACCACTAACCATTCACAGCTGTAGAATCTATTTCCTCAATCTTTTCTTTTTTTCACTGCAAAACTGCTCTGTCACTGAAAAGGCAAAAATCTAAATGCATTTTCGCTCTGAAAAATATTTCCAAACAGTGAAAATGGTGCTAACCATCATCATCAGAAACAGTAAATCCAAATTATTTAAATACTTGAGGTTTTTTATATAAAGATGCAAACAGTAGAGTATAAGAACAGAAGCACCTTGGTTTCTCAAATCTACCAGTTATCACAGAACTATTCAGAGAACATCAACTGTTCATATTATCAAAATCCTGAAGCACAGACATTTTCCAAAGGTTTCATATTTACATTTTAAACAGAATGAAATTAACCACTAGAAGTGCAAGATGAATCTCTCCTTAGATGCGCTGCTCAAGTTCTACTGCAATGGTCCTCCACATCAGCTAAGTTTACGGGACAGATACAACCAGTACCAAAGCACCATATATGTGCACCCACTAACAGGTTTATTCAGTAGTATGAAAGACTAACCCTTATATTTTTTGTTTCCAAAATTCACTGTAGGATCTCATTTCTTAATTCCATATTAACCGCATATTACTAAAACAATTAGTTTAGTAAAACATTTCGATTGAGCTGTGCCTTCAGTCTGCCTGTCTCACAACTATTCAGTTGACACCAAAAAAGTAGAGCTGACATTCTTCCCTCTAGGCAACGCTCTGCATTCACTTTTTTCACTCAGCGAAAAAAAATGCCAGGTTTATTCCTTCCTCTAGCTGAAGAATTCAACTTTTATCTGTAGACACCAGATCACCCATAAGCAAATTCCATCTGAATGCTGGAGGGAAAAAGCCTATCACACTGATCACATTTCATCTTCCATTGTCTTGCTTTACTGTCTTTCTCAAAATTCTTAACTAAAAAAATTCCTCTGGGAATAATAAATCCCACATTAGTTCTCAATACAAATGGGGAGAGGAAAAGAGCTAAAGATGAACTACAACTTTTTTTCCCCCTCCTTTTGTCTGTGTTTTTTTTAGTTCACTTGTTACTGTTATTGTCCCCCTGTCAAAACTGGGGAAAGTAAGAATAAAAGGAAAAATGAAACTTAATCATACATTTGTGAAGGATGGTATCTGCCCTAATGGATGAAGCTGCTTCATTTTTATCTTTTTTTCCCCATTCTCCCTCCTATCTCTTAACCCCAACTAAAAAAAGACAAAAACAAAACCCCAAAAAACAAACTCTCAAGCACTCCCATTCCCTGAAGCACAGATATCAAGGACAAGAAGCTGCCTTCCTTTTTCTCTCTCAGAGGGCAAAAATTGGGCTGGTCTGAAGCACTGGCTTAACCTCAATGGTTGTATAAAAGTAGTAATATGATGCCTAGTACCTAAAACCATAGCCCCTTTACTGACAATTGAGTATCACTTACGGAAGTCTCAATTATTCTGAGACAAAATCCTTACATAAGAATTCCAGCAATTGCCCCAACATTAAAGTACATAAATATGAAGTTGTGACAAGAATAAAGCAAGCATAGGCTGCTCAGCATATTGATATACAATCAATATTTGGTAAACAAAAACAGCACAAAAGAGGACAAATTGCAAGAATCGAGTGTCACCAGTTGGTTTTTTAAAACCTCCTCCTGCTTCCACAGCAGTGATGACAACAACTTGACTGAAACATACAGCTTGCTTTCAGCCTGAAGGGAGTCTGGGGCTCTTCTTATCAGAGGCAAAGACCTTTTAAGACAATTATGCGACTTAAGCCCAGACCGTGCACGTTCACTCCTCTTCACAGATTCCACTGACAACCTACGTGCAAGGGAGACTTTCCAGACGAGGACTTTCACCGCTGTACGAACCCAAATAACACTAACTGCAGCAACGCTAACCCACAACTCCAGGCTGCTGTATCCGAGAAGTAATTTTCAATAACGAATGCAGTGTTGATGTGTTTCTGTTTGTGCAACATGGACGGGGCGCACAGTTTTGAAATAGTAAAGAGAGAGATCACGCAGCTGCCAACAAGTGTAAGACTAACGGGCTGTGAGAGTTACAGGCAAAATACCCTAGGTGCAGCTATCACCAGATCACAGAGGTGTTACAGCACTTTTAGCTCTAACGTGAAAAAAACCATTCCCTGGTAACAACGCCAGGGACTTCGTTACCGCGCCTACTCAACCGGGTAACTAACACCCGCTTTAAATCGGGAAGTGGGAGAAACGACCCTCCCCCGGGCCAGAGCACCCGCCCGCAAGGTGCCTCAGCCCCTCCGGCCGCGCTCCTGGGCTGCCCCCTGCCGGCCTCCGCCCCGGCCCTGCACAGCGGGCAACCTGCCGCCCTCCCGGGGA